ATTGAAAATCTGCCCCCTTGCCCTCACATCATTCTGGGGTCCCTGGTGACTGACAGTAATGCCAGTAATGTTTCAAAACGTAAACTGTTTCATTTTACTGCCTGCCTGTTTCTATTTAATTGAACCTTTGAGATTATGTTAACTGGAAACAAACAGGATGTTGGATGGTAAATGGGATGAAATTAGATTAGAACACTATATAGGGTTGATAAGGGACCGGTCATTAATGGGAGGGGGGGCGGTGGGTAAGAAAAGGGGGGTGGCTTCAACTATTTATGCTTGAATTGCGGGCGGCTTCAAACTGAAAAATATGTGACAAGGAGCGACTCCAATTTTTTAATGTTGAAAACATATTATAAAACAAGAAAGTTACTATAATTACCAGTATGTTATATTTTATATAATAGAATAACATGAAACAGTTCATTCAACTCAAATACATCTTAATAAATAGTATTAGTCTCTCTAATGGAGGAACTTTTTAAAAACTTATTCTTAACTAAAAATTAATTTTAATGTTAAATATAAAACAATGCAAAAAAGTTCACCATTAAAAGGACACCTTTTGGTATAATTTTATAGTAACTGATTTATTAAAAATAGAACCTTAATTGTTACGATTTTAAATGTTGGAGGGGGCCCCTAAATTTTCTAGATGAAGGTGGGGCATCTTGAAAATACAGGTCTTTTGATTGGTGCGGTTCTAAAATTTCAATATTTGGTATTTATCACTCACCGCTTCCCCTCCCATTATTAATGACCGGTCCCTAATTATTACATAATTTTTGTATGCATAGAATTCCATAGATTAATTAATTGACCAACAAGTCTTTATTGATGATATACTGGGCAGCCTGTTATTAAATTTGGTGACCCAACTCTATTCTTTACTAGCCACTTGGGCGACTAAATAAAATATTTCCAATTCAGCAACCCCTGGAATAACCTTGCCTGACTCACATGCCTGGCTTACTCGTATATTAGTAGTACATACACGGCATCCCTCTGGCATATAACAAACCAGTCAACTGGCTTATGCTCATGCAGGAGTGTGATTGCAGTAGAGGAGACTCTACTAGCCTCGTGTTTAGGGGCACTGAGCAAACAGCCAAGCACGTTGAACCCAGCACTTAAGTACCAAAGTTCTGGACACTGCTGCACTAGTGCATGGATTGTAAAAATGTTTTCACATTATTTGAATATTTGATAGCTTTTTCAATTTATAATTACTCGCTGGGGCACTCTGTGCCCTGGCGAGTATAGGTTTCGGCACGCATTTTTAGTGGATCAGCAATAGTGGATCAGCAATAGTGGATCAGCAATAGTGGATCAGCAATAGTGGATCAGCAATAGTGGATCAGCAATAGTGGATCAGCAATAGTGGATCAGCAATAGTGGATCAGCAATAGTGGATCTCCAATTTTCTTCGATAGCCACAAAATAGAATATTAATGAGCTGCCTAATATCAAAATGGCGGCCTTTCGTGGAGTGGGCAAAATATTTCAAAAAATTTCGTTAAAATTTTTAACGAATTGTACCTGTTTTTTATGGATTTTGCATTGTGTCTAACTCTAGACATTCTTGCTAGTTTAGTTAATGCATTTTTCTTGGTGCACGGCTCTGAAAATCCGAAATTTGGATCGTCGAATTCCCATGTACGATCTTAATTTCATATAATATACTGAATCTGGATATAAACGAGCCAAAGGCAAAGACAATTTCAAGGTAAAAGGTTATAACTTACAGTAAACTACACCACGTAGTTTTAATAGATAACTACTTTATGAGAAGCATATTAGTGTCATATCAATATAAAATTTATCCAACAACAGTCTCTATTAAATAGTTATTAGTTAATAGCTGTGGAAACGCGGTGAAAACTGTAGTGTGAAATATAATGTTTCGTAATGCCTAATGGCGCAAAAAAGATAAAAATACCAACGTTCGATTCAGCGTAAGAAATTGTACTTACGGATGTCAAATCTATTACTAAACAACAGTATTCTAGCGATTTATGGCCTTTATCTTTAAAATCCAAGCGAAATTGTATTGTTTACAAATCGCTCGCAGTGCGTTTTCATGTTGACACTCACTCGCAGTACTACGTTTGTCCTTGACCTTGTACTAAGTTGTATCAATGCCTAATGGCGCAATAAAGATAAAAAATACCACCGTTCGATTCAGCGTAAGAAATTGTACTTACGGGTGTCAAATGTATCACTAAACAACAGTATTCTAGCGATTTATGGCCTTTATCTTTAAAATCCAAGCGAAATTGTATTGCGAACGAATCGCTCAAAACTATTCAACTAATTATAAAAAATGTAGTACGTTTGATCCTTGATAACTTTGGTATCGTTGGTTTTCTCTTTTTCGGCCGTATACCAGTGGATTTGTCTCACTTTTCTCTTCATTTTGATAGTATTTTGAGCCCAAAAGCCCCAAAATATTTTATTTTGAACGTAATTTTATTTTGAACGCGCAGTTTAATCCTAGCCGGTGGAAACGCCGGAAGTTTTATTTGCATGTCTGATTGTATAAAATCCTGAACTGGGTCATTATATTAACAGAAACTTCAAAACTGAGCCTCCTACCTGCAATACAAACCTAGCCAATTTGAGAGCGGCAGCACTCTCCCTTTGACAAGCAAAATCGACTGGTATGGGACATTAAACTAATAAAGTAGGGTGCATGATTGCATTGGGGCACAATGCAAGTCAGTGGGATATAAATAACAATATTATAACATAGTATTCACCTAAATAGACAGAGCAGTGTTATATATGGTGATATAGTTCAAAACAGAGTGAACAAAACTACTAAAACTTTAACTGAAAAGTTTAATCTTCAACCCTTTCGCGCTCGTATTCGACTTTTCCGCTTAGCTCGGGACAACCGAGGGACAACCTTAAATCTTAATTAAAACAAGTGTATACTGCGGCATGTAGTAAAACACTGACTACCGGAACACCGGAACACCACCGGAACACCGCCGGAACACCACCGGAACACCACCTAACCCTAACCCCAACCCCCAACCCTAACCCTAACCCCAAACCCTAACCCCAAACAAAATGGTGGTGTTCCGGTGGTGTTCCGGTAGTCAGTCTTTTACTACATGCCGTATACGGCATGCATGCATGCATGTATCATATACGGTAATGTGCGTGTTTGTATAGCCCCAGCGAGTTAACGCTCTATAGAGCGTCTTGTTTTTATTATTATCATCACCAAATACTTATAATGTCAGAAGTTTGCAGCAAATTCAGAATTTGTTTATTCAATCAAGGTATTAAATTCAATTAAGATTAGGTTTTTGAACTGGTTCAATGCCTTGAATTTTAAAAATGTTGGTTTAAGATTTAAAAAAAAGTTGGTGTAAGGTGGGGGGGGGGGGGGGGGACTGAACACGCAAAATATTGTTTCAAATATTTATATTCCTTACTCCTATTCTTTATATTCCTGCCATCAATATTCATATTTACACTACTTTAAAACCTTGTATTTGATCATAGGCGTCGAAAGATCGATAAGTGGGGGGGGGGGGCCCATATTCATGTATTCGTGTTCACAGACCTTAAAAACAATCGATTTCAAAAGAAATTAATAATGCAGAACACGAATATATGAATATGGTCCCCCCCCCCACTTATCAATCTTTCGACGCCTATGTATTTGATTAATATTCTATATTTATCTTCAACCAAAATGAACTGTATATTTGTAGCCAGCATTAAGCAGAACTTTGAGTGTATAAATTTCCGACCAAATATTTGTTCCTGTGCATTAAGCAGAACTTTGAGTGTATAAATTTCCGACCAAATATTTGTTCCTGTGAAATGACGGATTTCATGTGCTGAAATATGACTTACATTCCTGGCTAGCTGTTTAATTTAAAGCTGTTGGTAATTTATGTCCATGAAATGAGTAGTACAGTATGTAAGAACGTCAAGGGTGTAATATTTTTACATTTTACAAAATACAGTAGCTTGATAAGCTTTAACCTGCATTAATTAAGTTGAATTGTGTCTAATTGATGTGCCCTCCTACTTCATTATTTTACTCTTTCTAATGCCAGATGATTTTACTCATGAAGAACAGAGCGCTGGCACGCAATGGGCTATCAGACAATATCAGACTAGTTAAATATCTGTCCATGTGTGTCTATAGTGAATCACAGGAATAAAACCATTGCATCATTAATTTAGTATTTTGTGTTTCAGGGTTATGTAGACAACTATTGACCACAGGCTACGTTCTATTATAAATATGTAAGATTACATCGAACTGATCGAAGGAAATATGGCCAGTAATTATCGTGAGCTAAGCCCAAAGAAGCGAGGACGGCCAGTAAACAAGCTCTCTGTCAAGCTGTTTCTACTTGACCCTGATAACGAGATCACAAAAGTTACAAAAGAAACATGTTCAAGAGAAGCAATAAATCAGTTAATGCAGAAAGGATGTGGACCTCCTCAACCAGGTAATGGAGTGTGAAATTAATGATTATTTTCCAAGTGCAGTATGAAGGTTGGATATGAAACTAGAACTGAGTATTTTTTTGTCTGTGTTTGTTGTTGCCCAAATTACACCAAAATTGAAAGGATTTGTCCTTTACCTAAGGCCATAGTAACACACAAAAACATATTCATTAAAAACCTCAATAATTCATGAGGAAATTAAAAGACAAAGGAAATCACCATTCGTGTAGATACGTTCTACGTGGTTTTATATGTGATAAAAAATCATGCTTTCTAAGCCATTTATACTCGCAAAATAAAAGACACGTGTGTTTTGTTTCTGATAAGCACTCCTAGCTGGTCGTGTTTTAAATAGTAGAGACGATTTAGGATGACAACGCGACGTCAACGGCCAGAATAAGACTATTATTGATTGTATCAATTTAATACTGTTTGGTTAGCTTGAAATAGTGGCTTTATTCAGGTTCAAAAAGTGCTACTACTGTAGTACTGAGCTAATTTAATTGCTGGGTACAGTACATCACTTCTCGCGTCTTGAAATGCAGGCGTTTTATCCAAAACGTAAAAGTCTGTAGTTTCCCGTTGTAAACAGACCGTGGGTGTCATCTCAAACTCCCGTGGGATATTTATCACTTATTTACTGAGACCGAGAGAAACAGTGTGTTTTGTGGACCCGAGACCGTCGATGTTTCCCGAGGCGAAGCCGAGGGAAACATCGACGGTCGAGGGTCCACAAAACACACTGCTTTCCCGAGGTCTCAGTAAATAAGTGTTTTATTATATATCAATAGTCAAAGAAACAACAAATTAAAGAACAAATAAACGTAAATACATGAAATGTTTTACTGGCTACACTGCAGTTACTTAAAGCGAAAGTTTTAATTACGTACTAGGCATGTCCAAAGGTCGCATCTTCACATGATGGCGCACGTGATTTTTTTTGTTATTCGCCGGTCGATAACGTATTATCTCCTTCTCGCGCTGTTGCGAGGGAGACACTAATTTCGTCACTCTCACGTGATATGCTCTCAACCAATAAAACACTAGAAAAATGCGACTTTGACTATTGATATATAATAATAATTATTCTTTTTTATATATTATGAATCTCATTGTACGAATAGCCGTCGTCGTCGCGTTGCCGTTCCACATCGTATAAAGGTCTCTAGTAATTATCCCACTACGGCTGTATTGCACCTTTAAAAAACGCATTAATATAATTCATGAAGAAAACACAAAGAAAAATCATCAGCGTGTCGTATCTGTATATGTGATACAGATTCATGTTGATTTACATAAACTTTAACTTTGATTTTCTCGGCTTAGACAGCGTTTATTTTTAAAATTACTTGAACTCATAAGATGAGTCGTTTTTTAAGTCATTAAAAGTCGGCTCGAGTTTGTATATCCGATACAACACGGCCGCTCATGTTGTAAATAGTACATATAGATATCTTATATTGCACCCCGATGCGCCCTACGTATTTTACTGTGTCCAGCGCCAGACTATTTTACTTGTTAATCCATTGTGCTGCATAATGTCCCTATGCACCAAAACTTTATTATTTTACTCAGTGTACTGCCAGACAATCACCGGCATTTTTTACAAAAAACAGTAATGGTTTTCAAGATGGTTTTGGTACTAATATTGATGTGAATATTGCCAACAACCAATATATTGGTGGTATTTAAATGAAACAGATTAATGGCACCATTAATGTGAATCAAAATTCTGACAGTTTGTTGAGAAAAAACATTGACAGACATTGTGCTTTGTTTTCACATCAATGGTTTTCAATAATTTGAAGGGTTTTAATGTGGGAATACATTTTGAAAAGAATGAACCATTATTGGCTTATGCTAACTAAAGTTTATTTTTCACAGTAATGTTATTGAATTCGTAAATGGGAATTATCAATATACTATTATACAAAAAAAACTTTTGCCATTCATTGGTTTTTAATTTTTGCAAAAAATGCAATTATATATAGGCCTTCCAGCAAGAATCAACTGACCTGCATCCCTGCGAATCCGGTACAGATATCTGAACACTAATTGAACAACTGTACAAGTGCCAAGAGCTGACTCAAGTTCTTGTACATATATATACTGTATACTAGGGTGATGCATGCATAGTTTGATATTTGATGCCATGCATACAGTAGTTTGATTTCTTAATTTTTTAACAGAACATTGTACAAACCCTGAGAAAGACAAAGTGGAATTTTCATTGGAACTAACAAATGTAGAGTTCAAACAAAAGTTAGTTGAAATTTATTCCAAGTTAGAAAATGCTTGTTTTGTGTTGATGAAAGCTGACAGAAAGAACAAATTGGAAGAACTGGATCCTGGTACATGCTGTTACAGATGTTACACACCAAACAATATTTATGACAGTAATCGAGGACAAGGCCGGCTTTACATACGAATAATTGCTGAGAATGAGGTACTGTTGACTAGAAGGAGCTGTCTGCTGGTCTATTTGGAAGCTTCGGTTATAATAAGAAGCCAGATGCAACCATGCAGACCATCCTGCCAGAACAGCCTATTTCACTTCGCTTGCTTTCTGCTTGTAAAATATTGGAGCTAATTATAAAACAAATTACCTAATGTCCTAATTTAGTGAAAACCAAACCGTCCAATGAAAAAACAAAACATACAAAAACTCATAACTGGACTGTGCAATAGATTACGTTCTATTGCATGATCTTATAGAAATGGTAATATCAGGTGATCATAATGAGCCAATTAAACGACGAGAATTTAATAGGCTCTTCCATTTAGCAGGACAGACTACCATCCGATGCGTTGCAATGTAATTATATTTATTGTAGAAATATTTAGCATGCAATCATCTTTTTTACCGGTCATCTTTTGCTTTTCTCGTTTCTCGAAAATCAAAAATCACCAGTCAATCGCATTGTGTTTTCCTTAAACCTAAACAAATTATATTTACCGGCGTGCAAACCTAAAAACCTTACAATGGTTTTCTGTTCTAGATATCGATGCAGTGTACCCATGGAATATCTCGCATGGAAAGATTGCGCAGTACAGTTAGTGGTAGCCAGCTACTTTATGTACCAATCTTACCAAAACCTGCTCCTGCAGTCTCTAAAAGTATAGGTGTTGGAGCTGAATCAAGGGAAAATGTGGTCACGTTTGTTGCCATGCCAACCAATCGTCAGTTACCAGTGTCAGGTAACCATGGAATTGAGTCGAGGCCATCCTGTACCCCCCGTATCACGTCAACACTAGATTTGACATCATCGTCAATTGTTGTTCCTCAGACTGAGTCAACACTACCAGTTCAGAATTCTGGTAATATGGTAGCACAAAGACTCTTGTCCTCGTCAACTACTACTTCTGTAAATGAATCGAGGCTACCAGCTTGTAGTTCTGGAAGTTTAACAGCGCAAAGTCCACCACCTGCGTCAGCTATAATTTCCGAGACTGAAACAAGACCACCAGTTCACAGTTCTGATAATATGGTATCACAAAATTATTTACCATTGTCAATTATTGTTTCCCAGGCTGCGTCAACACCAGCAGTTCACAGTTCTGGCAATGTGGTAACACAAAGTCAGTTATCAATGTCAGCTGTTCCCCGGACTGCATCAACACCACCACTTTACAGTTCTGGTAATATGGTACTACAAAGTCCGTTTTCAGTTTCAGCTATTGTTCCCCAGACTGCATCAACACCACCACTTTACAGTTCTGGTAATGTGGTAACACGAAGCCCGTCATCGTTGTCATCTATTGTTCCCCAGACTGCATCAACACCAGCAGTTCACAGTTCTGATAATATGGTAACACAAAATCCGTTATTATTTTCAGCTACTGTTCCCCAGACTGCATCAACACCACCACTCCAGAATTCTGATAGTATCGTAAGACGACGTCAGTTACCAACGTCAGCTTCGGTTTCTCAGACTGCGTCAAACCAACCAGATATAGGTCACTTACAAACTACTGTATCTGGGACTATGGCACATCAAGGGCAATTTCCCAGACATGCACCTTTTACGGCTGATGAATTTGACCTCGAGGAAATTATGGCGAGTTTGACAGACTCGCTGATGACTGATACAGATGAAGATTCAAATATGAACGTGTTTCAAGAAAAATACGCTGGATTCCAAATGCCAAATGTGGTCACGCGTACTTTGAACAATCCGAGTTTATTTGTGACTCCACCCCCCATTCCTTCTTCTGGTTTTGCTGCATTCGACCCGTGGGTGAAGCCTCCGCAGTCTCGCGGTTTGGTAGATATGAGTAACGAAGTGCAAGCAAACAGTTCAAACGTGCAGGTACAGATATTTGAATTATTATATTTGCTGTATCTCTATAAAATATATAGATCACATTTTGAGTGTAAGTAACTGTTCTACAATCAGTGATAAAACACTTTGGACAGAATTGCAAAATAGCGCACGTATGCAAGATAGTCGGAACCCCGCGCCCTCCCGCGCTCTCCGTTCAATGTTGCTTGGACAAAAACTTGCTCAAAATGTTGCTTGTTAACGACCCAACATTGTTCAGGGTGGGGGAGGGAGGGATGATGTTATTACGCTGAACAGTATTTCGAAATGTGCAGTTATCTATATATTATATCACTATGGAAAAGCTTTTTGTCACTGGTTATAATTTTTACGGAACATTAAATCGAACAGCCATTCCATCGTCACTCGCGTAACCAAGTCACAAAATTTTAGGGTTTAAAACTAGTGTTTTCTGCCACTTCTGATTTTGCAAAAGGCAAACACGCTTTGTACAAGTAACCTTCTAAGGAGATGTTGATTTTAAAGTATTTAATTCTTAATAATTATTTTTGAGCCATTGGATGTAGCGTCTTACTTCTTGTGACTCGCGTGGCAGCCACGAAAACTTACCAAATTTACTAGTCACTTATTAATCTTGACATGATGCTATAACACTTCTGTGAAATTTTAACAAAATCATGTTTGGCAATTCAATGTAACTCGCGTGACATAAAAAGGTGATTCACGTGACAAGTGGAAAATTATGACTAAAAAGCTGGGTGGAAATAATAGCAATTGAATGTAAATATTGCGTCTTGTCACTGGTTTTTGAGACCATTTCCGGTAACAATTTAATATAAAATACACAAAGAACTTACAATGTTTCTTTGTTCTAGATATTCCAAGGCACGCCAACACTAGATTTGACACAATCGTCAATTGTTGTTCCTCAGACTGAATCAACACTACCAGTTCAGAATTCTGGCAATATGTTAACACAAAGGCCCTTGTTCTCGTCAACTTCTACTTCTGTAAATGAATCGAGGCTACCAGCTAGTAATTCTGTGAGTTTAACAGCGCAAAATCCATCACCAGCGTCAGTTATAATTTCCGAGACAAGACCACCAGTTCACAGTTTTGGTAATATGGTAACACAAATTAATTTACCATTATCAATTATCGTTCCCCAGACTTCATCAGCACCAACAGTTCACAGTTCTGATAATACGGTAAAACAAATTCATTTACCATTGTCAATTATTGTTCCCCAGACTGCATCAACACCACCAGTTCACAGTTCTGGTAATATGGTAACACAAAGTCCGTTATCATTATCAGCTATTGTTCCCCAGACTGTGTCAACACCACCACTTCACAGTTCTAGTAATATGGTAACACAAAATCAGTCACCATTGTTAACTGTTACTTCTCATACTCCATCAACACCAGCAGTTCACAGTTCTGGTAATATGGTAACACAAGGTCCATTATCAATGTCAGCTATTGTTTCCCAGACTGTGTCAACACCACCACTGCAGAATTCTGTTAATATGGTAAGACAAAATCAGTTGCCAACGTCAGCTTTTGTTTCTCAGACTACATCGAGACTAAAAAGGCCATTGTTGTCAACTGGTACTTCTGTAAATGAATCGAGGCCACCAGCTTGCAGTTCTGGAAGTTTAACAACGCAAGTTTCATCCCCTTGGCTGAACGCCGGTTTGGATGACATGGCAGATATGAGTGACGAAATGCCGCACGGAGATTGGCTAACCAACAATGCAAACAGTTCAAACGTGCAGGTATAGATATTTGCTGTCATTTAGCTTATATAGACTAACTTCATTAAGATTTAGAGTAATTCAAAAAAGCCCAAGCATGCGGGCAGCTCTCGGTATAAATGATTGTTAATGCCTGTCGTTGTTAATGCCTGAAATTGGTGCTAAAAGGTTAGAACCTTTTCTTAAGTTATATTTATGTTCGGCATCTTTACAAATAGATCTTCTGCATGGGTGATTTTTTAAATCCCCAATATTATTATATTCGTTGAGCCGCCTATGCTGACAGGCGGAGGACTGTACCTGACCTTGTAAAGCTTATCCAGATATCTTTGGTGTTATACCAACATGCATTCAACTCAATTTTATTGCTAACAGCTCAAACTTCCAGCTTTAATATAGACATTGAATATGGTATAGGTGAGAGATAACTCTATACTCTGGGTACACCAGTACACCTGGAAACTTAACTTGTGTCCGATTATTCGAGTTACAAGAAATTAAAATTCAGAATATTTTTTTAATTTAAAATATATTGTAGAAATTGGTTATAATACACTACCGCGATAATATCGCCATCAAAAATGCGGATACCGATATTTTGAATTTGGGGGCGATATATCGATATCGGATACACCGATATGGATAGCGATGCATCACTATGTTGTTTTATATATATATCGAGTCTTACATATATATCTTTAATTCTTTACAGGCAAACTTGGATTTACCAGAAACAGAAGAATGTAAGTTAGACTTATCCAAAATCCTTTTCTTTACAGTTCATTAGCCCCCGATTGTTTTTATATGTCACTAACGCCTTATACAGTGTAATACAGGATGCACATGCAGACCTTCATAAATGCTGAGGGTCGGTATTACGAAACACTTCGTTGCTACCGATGCATCTTTGACTGGATGGGGGGCCTGTATAGACACCACAACAACAGGTGGGAACTGGACACCTGATGAAAGGGCAAAGGACATAAATTACTTAGAAATCCTAGCAGTTTTCTTGGCATTGCAATCTTTTACCTCTGCAGTTGCCGGAAAACATGTAAAACTGCTAGTTGATAACACTATGGCTGTGTTTTCTATCAACAACATGGGCACTTGTCACTCTAAAGCAAATAATACATTAGTGGCAAAAATCTGGGAATGGTGTATAATTAACAATACATGGCCCACTGTGGCACATATTCCAGGGAAACAAAACACTGTGGCTGATAGAGAATCTCGACGAGAAACTGAATGGTCTCTTAACAAGGACATTTTTAATGCCGTAGTTTCAAAATTGGGGTTTTCTCCTAATATTGTTTGTTTGCCTCTAGGCTTAATTACCAGGTTAAGCCCTATGTCCTAGATCCTACAAGCAGATCCACAGGCGATACACCCGCGAGGGGGATTAATCCAGTTTGTGCAACTGTAGGAAATGGAATCGAATTCCTCTTCACTGAATACCAGAGGGGGTTATCGTACAGTGTTTTAAACACTATTCGGAGTGCACTTTCTCCAGTTATATTTCCCACAGACCAATCATTTGGCAGTCATCCCTTAGTAACCCGATTTTTGAAAGGTGTTTTTCGAATCTCGGCCCTCTCTTCCTCCATATCAAGCTACATGGAACGTTTCTGACGTATTGAACTACTTAAGAACAATGGGACCTGTTGAGGAGTTAAAGCTAAAAGACTTAACATTTAAAACTGTTATGTTGGTAGTTTTGTTATCCGGTCAGTGATGTCAAACAGTACATGCATTCACATTGAGTGGTATGTGGAGGCTATACATGCATATCCCACCCTAAAAATTATGATTATGTGTTCATTCACAGCTGGTTTTAAAAACTGAATGCCCCGATCTCCCGCGCTCTATCTCATGAGCGTGATTTTCCTGATTCCCCGGTTGATTGGACCGATATTGTTTGTACTTTCTCCTGTATTGGGGTTTGCCGCCCTGAGGCGGCTGTTTCCATAAAAAAGGCTTTTGTTGACCAGATCTGGCTGGTGCCTGTTGAGGCGAGAAATGGCGCCTTGGTGGATAATACTCATTGATTTTCCTGTCAACCTCCCCATGGTTTATTGGGTTATGGGCCTCTGGTAGGGATGTTATCCACCATTTTACATCTGTTATAGATTCCTGTGATATAGACATTTTCCCCTCAAAATTCCCTTTACTTTGTTTAAGGGCATTTGTTTTGTCCATGTCCAGAGATCTATAGTGGAGTGGGCCAAATATTACCCCTGGGAAGCTAGAAGTCCCGCTGCAACAAGCAGGTCCTGCAACGGTCCGTTGCGAGGACCTAGTATACATTTCGCATTATCTAAAAGCGGTGTTCAAAATACCTAATTTTTGCTGCATGGTGTTTTTTTGCGTATTATACTGCGAGAAAATTGGAATGAATGCCAAGCTAAACCTCCTGGAAGGGATGACTCAAATAATGCTCGGGAAATTTCTGCTTTTTAGACCGTTCTAAAGCCCGAAAATATACGTTTAATTGCACATGCTTATTATATTCGCTTTATTTGCAATATACGTAATTCACCATTTGCTCATGGTTAAGTATAAGACGTAATACAACATAAACTAGTTTTCCACTTCAATCATATATGGTGCCGAAACGTAGCGTATTTCTTTGTTTCCTGAGCACTAGAGTGAAACTAATGACTTCAACACAAAAGAAAATGCTACGATACGTTACGATACGGTTGAAGTGGAAAACAGGCTTTACAGCCTCTTCTTGCCTTGAATATAATGAATATTGGGAGATGTTCGACCTGTACAGCCCCATCGGATCCCCTTTCTGCTGCTCACTACGCCCTCACATGATATTTTTTTCTGTAGTAAACATGATTGATGAGTTTCTCGAAAATGTTGAGTCAACTAAAAAACTGGAGTTATCGTTGGGAGTTCTTGGTAATGATGCCCTCTTGAAGAAGCTGAAAGAATCCACAATTAACATTCACACTGTGGAGATTCAATCAACTTGTAAGGTACACCATGTTCTAAGAAAATATTCTTTACCGTCTTGTCTGGAGGTCGTACGTATTAATGAGAATGACTTGGATTTCGAGGACATTTCTGCTCTAGTTAGATCTCTTAGTAGCGTGAATTATGGCTTACATGAGTTAGATTTATCTCGTAGTAAGTTTAGGGAAAGTAGTACAGGTAGCTTCTTTGCTTTTATATGGCGCGTTCTTATCAATTGTAAAGATCTAAGAATTTTGATTTTAACAAATAATGGCTTAACCGAACATGAAATAACCTGCTTAATAACTACTTTTGATTCAATGAAAAATATTAAAATTTTAAACGTATCTAAAAATAACCTTACTGAAACACAAGCAAATGACATACTGCAAAAACATGGACAAGCTAAGAGCATTGTTTCTTTAGACTTATCGCAAAACGCAATACAGGGAAATAGAATCATCATTGGGATTTGTCAACTGCAATCACTCGAAGAACTAAATATATCTCGTAACTACATCAGATTTTTCCCTTTACCTAACTTAGAGGAGAAATGCAACAAATTCTCAGAAAACACGAAAATTATTTCATTGGCTTCTAATCACATGACACCTGACGACATATGCAAATTTTGTTCTTTAATCAGGTCAGATCTACTGAAACTTGACTTAGATTTTAATCATGTTGGCAATTCCATTTGGTCGTTATGTTCACTAGGTCTAAGCATTAAACATTTGAAAGTGTTAAGTTTAGCAAATACTGATATTTGTGGTGATGTTGTTGGTTTAGCAAACTTACTCTCTTCAGTAGGAGAACTTGAAGAACTGAATTTATCTTCAAATAATCTTATGGCGAACGATTTTCGGGTTCTTCAGTCACCCTTATCAGACTTAATTCAATTGAAAAAGTTGAATTTAAGCAGCAATCCTGAAGGAATTTCAGCTCTATTGCAATGGATCCTGCCTTTGTTGAAATACCTGGAAGAGTTAAGGCTAAGTAATACACACTTAAATAGCGACGATTTAAGCAATATCTGTTATTCACTTGCATCCTTAAGCAGTCTAAAATATCTTGACTTAAGCATGAATGCTATCGGTTCAGATGGATTAAGGGCACTTGCTAACATTTTGAAAGAGTTTCCATTATTAGAGGGGCTAGACATAAGTAGAGCGTGTATCAAGGAAGATGACATAAGTATCTTGTGTAAGGGTTTAGTTCCATTAGAGAAGGTTAGATATCTGAATATGTCAGGCAATAGGATTGATCTTGACGTTTTAGACGATGATTTGTTTTTACCTCCAACGTTAGAGGAGTTGATTTTCAGTGATATCATCACTCATGGCGAAAAACTCTTTGCCAAAATGAAACAGCTAAAAAATCTAAGAAAACTTCACCTTAATCAACTGAGACTAAGAGCTTACAGTGATGTTGAGGTGTTAGCCGCCGTGTTGTTGTCTTTTCCAAAGTTGCGGGAACTATCTTTAGCTGATATTACTGTTTCAGACTTAAAGTGTGCCGTAAGATCGTTGGGGGACATTAAAAAAATTGATCTCACTGGCATAAAATTACTTGATGAAAGAGCATTAGTTGACATGCTTTCGTGTCTTTTGTACTTAGAAGAACTAGTTTTAACTGACATGAATGTTGCGAACATGGACTGTGAAAGATTCTTTAGTGCGGTAAAATTGTTGACACATTTAAGAAAACTTAACCTTGGTGGTGTAAAAATACGTGACGAAAAAGCTTGGTTTGACATGCTGTCCTCTCTTTTAATTTTGGAAGAAATTGTGTTTCCTAATGTTGGTTTAATGAATACTGACTGTATGACAGCATATTTTAGTTCCTTGGAATCATTAAGATATTTGAAAAATCTTGATCTGCAATGCACTAAAATTCGTAAACCTGGCGTAGAAGCTTTAGCTCTCGTGTTACCATCACTGCAGTTGTTGGAAAAGCTAGTGTTGGGAGGGATTAACTTTGATGATGGGTGTCAAAAACAACTGTTTGCCGCACTAGGGAAATTGAAATACCTCAAGGAACTTGATTTATGTTACACTCGTATTACCCAAACTGGCGCAGAAGCTTTAGCTCTCGTGTTACCATCACTGCAGTTGTTGGAAAAGCTAGACTTGGGAAAGAATGACTTTGTAGATGGATGTAAAAACACCCTGTTTTCTGCGCTAGGAAAATTGAAGTACCTCAAGGAACTTAATTTAAGTTGCACTCGTATTACCCAAACTGCCGCAGAAGCTTTAGCTGACGTGTTACAATCACTGCTGTTGTTGGAAAAGCTAGTGTTGGGAAGGATTAACTTTGATGGTGGATGTCAAAAACAACTGTTTGCCGCACTAGGAAAACTGAAATACCTCAAGAAACTTGATTTATGTTACACTCGTATTACCCAAACTGGCGCAGAAGCTTTAGCTGACGTGTTACCATCACTACAGTTGTTGGAAAAGTTAGTGTTGGGAGGGATTAACTTTGATGATGGATGTCAAAAACAACTGTTCGCTGCGCTAGGAAAATTGAAATACCTCAAGGAACTTGATTTATGTTACACTCGTGTTACCCAAACTGGCGTAGAAGCTTTAGCTGACGTGTTACCATCACTGCAGTTGTTGGAAAAGCTGGACTTGGGAAAGATAGACTTTGATGATGGATGTCAAAAACAACTGTTTTCTGCGCTAAGAAAATTGAAATACCTCAAGGAGCTTGATTTATGTTACACTCGTATTACCCAAACTGGCGCAGAAGCTTTAGCTGACGTGTTACCATCACTGCAGTTGTTGGAAAAGCTAGACTTGGGAAAGATTGACTTTGATGATGGATGTCAGAAACAACTGTTTTCTGCGCTAGGAAAATTGAAATACCTTAAGGAACTTCATTTATGTTACACTCGTATTACCCAGACTGGCGCAGAAGCTTTAGCTGACGTGTTAACATCACTGCAGTTGTTGGAAAAGCTAGAGTTGGGAGAGATTAACTTTGGTGATGGATGTCAAAAACAACTGTTGGCTGCGCTAGGAAAATTGAAATACCTCAAGGGACTTAGTTTATGTTGGACCGCTATTACCCAAACTGGCGCAGAAGCTTTAGCTGAGGTGTTACCGTCACTGCAGTTGTTGGAAAAGCTAAAGTTGCATCCTTTCAAAATGAAAGTAACCAACGACTATTTACCGCATTAAGATCATTGAGTTTTTTTAATGAGCTTAATCTTGAAGTTGTTACTACTACAATTACCCAAACTGACGCAACCACTTTAACCTTTGTAATTATTACCAACGCTGCGCAATGTAAAACGTCTTGGGTTACCTCAGGAGATAAAAAAAAATGATGACAATTGTACAAAACTGCAGGAAGCTGCACGCCTTGTTCCTGGATTACAGGTAAGCGTAGAGTAGACGCATGACTTTATTTGTTGCTGCTGGAAGTCCTTCATTTTTTCACACAATATTGCGCTCACATAATATTAGATTAAAACTTTATTTTAAAAGGACGAAGTGCGAACTTTACCAATCATCAAATCAAGAAAAGTTTGCTATTTCGCTGTCGTCATGCAGTCGTTCTAATACAAACTTTAAATTGGACCAATCAGTGTCTGCTATTCATGACAGTCCGCCATATTTTTGAGATCAGTGAGGACGACCACCCACCGAAACATCGTTGGTGAGCCACGCCCGCGATGATTGATGAACTTTAGACTTCGCTAATGTTCTTCGTTTCCCCGGGTGTAAATAGCCGGGGGGAATTAGTACTCTCGCACGGCGCTTCGCGCCGTCGGTCGGCTCGGGGATAATGCATAAATTATACAATGGGCTAATTATGCATTCAGTTTACTCTGCCCAGTAAAGCAAGACAAACGTTTGCTGATCGAATTTTCATCCAAATTTAACCAAATTTAATCGATTGGTCCTTGAGCAATGTCTATTAGTCCCACAAATTTTCGTGTTAATACGTTTGATATTTGTTAAGTTATCGTGCTGACAGACACACACATAGAAACACGAATGAAAATATAACCTTCTGCCTTTCTGGCGTCATATATTAATATGCTATATATCCTTGTGTATTTTCGCTTTGCGTTGAAAATGGATCCGTCATAAACGGTTGAAAAGCTAGTCCGAGGATTTATGAAGACTGATGGTAACAATCAGAGCATTGCCAGTCGTATGTTAATATACTTATTATTAGCATTACAAAATTACTGGATGCTGATTGGTTGAGAGGAGTACAAGTATTTCATTAATTGTACTGCAGTACAATTAATGATTTTCCCAAAACAAACAAAATGGCGGAAAAGTATTTTAAACACAAGCGTGAAATGAAATTGCCCTAGAGGAACTAGATGAAAATACGAACAAAAGCACCAAAATTTGCTTTAACAAAAGAACTAAATGAAAATACGGACAAAAGCACCAAATTTTGGTTGAAAGTCTGGCAGGACTGGGCTTTGGCGAGAGAATATATGAAGCGATGTTGCTCCCGGCGGCTCGTCCAATTTTGGCAAAATTTCCAAACATCACACGTACTATTAATCCCTAATTGTACTCGCCATCGCATGATTACCTATACTAATACACTGGCGGGCAAAAGAACTGCTCAAGTTAGAAATCCACATAAAGTATAAGCAATATCTTGCGGTAACATTTTTTCATGACATATGCGCCATAGATATAAAAATAATTAACCATTTGAATACATAACAATCTCTGCAAGAAATTTCGTTCTACTTAACTGTCATATCGAATGTAGCAATGTTTGCTAGTTCCAACAGAAAGATCTTCATCTGTCAAAAAGAACCGAAATAAGATGTGAAACCATGTATCCATGCCAATCAAAGAATCTGTGCAGAACGTCGAGGAATGGTGTTAGCATTGTCCCAGGTAGGCGTTTCGCAACGGAAGATTACCGCTGGAGTTTGCTGCAACCAACCAAGTGTCATCGACATGCGCTAGAAGAAGATATTGAATGGAAGCAAGAATGGAAGTCTCAAGATTCCTACGAAAAAATAAAGTCCACACAGAAGAGAGCAAGAAAAGAAAAAGTAAAGCTTACAGCAAAATCTAATAGGCATGCACAGTATAAATAAAAAAGACGTTGGCCGAGACTGGTGTGAAGGGTTGGAAACGAAAAAAGAAACATCATCTCACTGCTTGCCACCGAAAAGCTCGATAATAATTATTTAATAAAGATGCTTAACAATTGGGCTGCAAAGAGAGTGGTCCAAAGACATTTTTGGACACCATGAGTCCAGATTTTTCGTCCATACGAATGGTGATTGAGTCTATACTATGAAATATTGCTACAGAGGAACTTAAAGAACATTGTGTCCAACCAACAGAACCTAGACGCCATATTAATTTTGTGTCCATTCCTTGACTTACTTACTTGATAAAAACTATTTGAAATATATGGGGTCTGAATGTTGTGCATATTTCATCTTATTGATATGTTGTCTAATACTAACTTTTGATAAGTTCTTTTTGAGTTTTGAAGGTGATAACCAGAACATCGGTCGTATATGTTAATATGCTGATATATCCTTGTGTATTCCCGCTTTACTTTAAAAAGAAATCCATCATGAAGGGTTAGAAGCTAGCTTAAATTGAAACGATTGATGCTATCGCATAGGTACATGAACTGACGCTTTATATAGATCACAGACTATTATACTTCACATATATACAAACACAAATATCTTGGAATCATTTCATCATACAGACAAAAAGTAACAAACGTTTTGGTACCAGACAAACTTAGTTTAAAACCTACAAATCCTTTGCATTCAGCAACGAAAATTTGTGCCGTTGTCATTGATTATGAAAGTCTTGAAATCGCATCGAAATTCATATACTGTACAATCCTCATGCAATATGCCACACAATCCTGCACACATCTTTGAGTGAGTCTTTACAATTACATCATTTTCACATGTTTACAATTCATAGGCTAATCAATAACACTTATCGTAAAATAAAAATCATAAAATCTTAATTACCAATGACATAGACCGATTCGAAAAATACAATAGTTGTCATTTTTTTTCTTCCAAAATTAATTTCAACCAAGGTAATCACTTCCGCCTTACAGATTATTTCAAGACTGACAGTTTTGCAAAGTATAAATGTATCCCTTTTTTTAGAAATTAAATGTTAAAAATAAAAGAAAATTTAGCAAAGAAGACTGACTAGCCTCGTTTTAATACTTTTTTTTGCACATTTCAAACAAAAGGATATAATTTCACCTACCTTTATTGTTTTCATAATTTCAATCTTAAATGTTTACACTTTGCCTTAACAAGTCTGTGTTGAAAAGTTGTTTTTTAGCCTGGCAATGCATAAAATAGAAAATAATGAAAAATTGTGCTAGCTAGTTTTCGAATCGGTCAATAAAACCGGCGATAATGGTAACATCAATTTTACTAAAACGCAAGCTTAAAGCTGGATGAAAATTATATAATAACATCGTGTTAGTTTAGCAAACATCGAGTAAACTTATATAAACGAGTAATAACTGATAGAAATAATAATTAACCGATAAGTGTTTTAATATATTGATTTCATTCAGTCAACACTGTCGCGAGTTTAGACAAAAAAGAGTTTGGCGAATATACAACAGCAACGAGAACGTGATCGTCAACAACAGCATCTTTACTCTATAAAGACAAAGGCGACTATAATTTCCATCCTAAAGATGTATTATTTTCTCAATTTTTACAAACACTACGTCATTTACATCATTTTCACGGCTCATGACCACGCCAACACAGTAAAACGTTCAAGTCGTTTGCGGTGTTTTATGTGAATTCATGCACTCTCTGTTGCTACTTCAGGGAATTTCAAGGTTGTTTAAAAGAAAGATAAGTGGTTTTAAAAGTTTAGTAATGTATGTTTTCGCTCGAATACAAAAGTATAAGTAATTTTGTTTCCTGCTGTTGCCGTTGTTGTTTGCCAAACTCACTAAAAAATACCTTAAATGATGTAGCATGTCAACGCGAAGGCAACAGCCAACACAAACTCATTCAAACGAGAAATTGTAAAGAAAATTTTGTCGTGTTTTATCAATCGAATGAATTTAGTACAGCTAAACGGATTTATGTTTGAGAATAGTTCTTTACTGAGCAATTCATTTCCTGAGTACCGCAAAAATCTGTGGTTTATGATTATTCATTCTTTTCTAAAATGTTATGAATTTCATTGTATGAATAGCCGTCGTCTTCGGGAGTTGCCGTTCTACATTGCAAGGGTCTCTGAGGGGCTGTTTATATGAGACGTGCGTTCTGGCTCTATATTAGCCGGGCTAAAGCCCCCGGTCAAATGAAAATGAAAGTTGATGAGAGCTGGCAGTCACGAATTGTTACACTCGACATTTCAAGCTCTAGATTAACAAAATGTAGATTTCATGAGTGTTCCAACAATGTTTTAACTTCAATAGAATACATGATAGTGTTGGGAAAGCATTAAGAACAGCTAACCAAGGTCACGTGACTGCCAACTCTCGTTTGATCGAGGTTTAAGACTTCAACAAACCAAAATTAACAAGAAAAACTCGTTGACGAGTTTAATACTGCGAGGTTTGTCACAAAAGTTAAATTCATGCTTTTTTCCTGCACAAATTTCCGATTTAAAACTACTTAAGCAACAAGAACAATTTGTAAGTTTAGAAATCAAAATTTATCGAGAAAATATCAATTCAAATAAATATTGTCAAGTGTAACAATGTTTTTTTGCTAGCCCGGTTAAACGACTTTGCATGGATAAATTTCAGCCGACGATGTCCCAGTTAAACGGACTGGCCCAGTTTTTATTTAAAGTGAAATTATTTCTTTAAAAAATTTGTGTGAAGGCGAACGCCTCGTTTAACCTGGTCAACCAGCCAGCCAGACTCGTATAAACAGCCTCTATAACGAACTCAAAGATAAGCTACTGTTGAGAAACAAATAATGATTTCGTAATGCGTGCTTTTACTCAAAGGGGTCCGTCATGACAGTTGAAAGCGTACGAGATTTTGAAATCAAGTTTATTTCTGAGTTGATTTCCTGAACTTCGGCTGATTTCAACATTTCCTGAACATACCAATTACAGCATTTTTGGTATATTTCAATGCCTGAAAATACGTTTAAAACATTGAAAACAAAATACTGTTTTATTTATGAAATATCCGATCTGAAATACGCAAAAGTGAATCAAGCTAGTTCTTGCAATATGGTGATATGTTTAGCCTTTTGTAAGAACTTACGTGTTTTCTGTATGGTTTCAAAATCAACTGATTTCTACTCAGTTAATTTAAATTTCTGCATGGTTTTTAACCTGAGTTCTGAGTGGAGTGTACGCGAAATTTCTGCCGTGACCGACCCCTCATTTTGTTACAATACAAGAATGTATGTAATTGTATTTGATACTGTACTACTATTCAGCCATTCACAAGTTAACATGCGAACTTTAAGACAAGTTAAGTAATGTTTAAAACCTACAATCATTTTTAAAAGTTGTTTTCGGTTTTAGATCATCAGTGGATAAATGCAAATTATTACAAGCATTTTTATTTCCCCCCGCCCCTCATTCAATGTTGTTTACCGAATTCCAAACACTATATTACACCAAAGTAAGATGCTAACTGAGACCTGAGGGTGCAGGGGGATCAAAGTTTTGCAAAATAATATGTAGTTGGGGCGTCTGTCTCAACACATTTGAAAATGATTGTAGTACAAGGTCTGGGAGTGACAGAAAAACCGTTCTTTAAAAAACTTCTTGAAAACAGCTCTAATTTGTTTTTACTGTCAGCGTATTAGATCAAGCATTGTTTAATTAGCATCGCTTATATATCTACGTTTAGTGTCCTCAAAATGTGAGCCTGCTTAAAGTTGATGAGAGTTGACCTACACTCGATGTTTGATGACAGTTTACGAGAGCTACAACTCTAATCAACTTTTATTCTCGTTTGCCAATTAAAGGACATCGTATCATATTATTAACTAAATGATCAAAAAGTTTCTTTTTTTCGACATTTCAAATTTGCATGCAATGACATTTTTCATTCAGTTCATTAACAAGTCAAAGAAACTACAGTCAAAAAGACAGATATTAAAAAGTTTAAAATAACTTTCATTAATGTTTTCAAAGTTCTTTCTAACGATATCAAACTACATGTCGACTTGACTTTTTTCCCGATGTCCTTTAAAACTTGCATTTTTAAAGAAGATGGCCAGCTAAATGTGGACGAGGTTTTTAGTATGTTCTTTCAGTAAAGCCAATTTATTACCACAATATTAGCATTATGTTTTTATTTTTGTTATTAAAGAATGGGGTAGTCCAAAGCTTATGACAGTATGTATAACCTTTTTAAAAATAGTTAATACTGTAATACATTTACAAGCGACGATATATACTCATTGTCGTGTTACAATATTCAATTTTCGTTGTATTGGCACATAGAAAATAGTTTATTAAAGAACAAAAATTAAAGAAACTTACAATGATGTATATCTTGATTTTTTACCTTCTCATCAATAATGACGCCATGCATGTTCGATCATGATGCATTATGGTAGGTTGTCTATAGATTTTTTAAATAATTATGCTTATGCATGGTTATTCCAAATAACTTGTATATCATACATATAATTTAATGTATGTCTTGTATACATATGGTGACCCAGGCTTGGCCTTTCGTACTTATCGTTAAGACAGTTCGTACTCAAAGAACCAGTGGTGGCGCCAAGGAGGGGCTACAGCCCCCTGTCGGGGAGCCCTAGCCCCCC